TAGCACTTGGTCGTAGGAAAAACATTTGCAACAACAATGCACATAGCCCGCGAGTGTCGTCCCAAATTACCCTTTTCGCTTGTCGAACGCCGAGCACGCTGAGTGGGGGCAAACAAGAGTATCTTGGCGCCCGCCAGCCATGTTGGGAGTGGCGTAGCGGGGGGCGTTTTACTTCGTAAAATGCAGAATGGTACTGCTACCGGGGCTATGTAGCCCGCTCCTACGAATCTTCTATCCTTCCTTCTTCTTCTGTTCGTCCTGTCTTCTGTTGTTCTTCGCTTCGCTCGGCTCTTTGGCGCAAAACCCTTCTTCCACTGCTTGAAATCGTACCTCACGCATCCATGTACTGCTATATGTCATGTTTGAAAAGAATCGTTGGTGTCGAGCATTGGGCTTTCGTACAAGTCGAATTCAAAGCCCACGTGGCGGCCCTTCGAATCGACTCTCTCTGGCAACGCACGGAAGGCTTCCCAATGCCCAGCCAAAGATTGCACGAAATCACACACCTCGTCGATGTAGAAGATAAAAAGTACGAGCAATAAGTTGGCGACAGCATCGTGGCATGCATGCTTTTTCGGCGTTTCAACGACGGGCGTCTACCTGCTGCAGTTCGTTTTGGTCCGCCTCGCCGCCCCATAGTCAGTCAAGGCATCATGAATTCTTGTGTTAAAAAGCCTATTGTCGTTCAGTTTGAGCGTATTTTGTCGTCTGAATATATGCAGTCCCATTGATTGGGAAAATGTCTCGAACGAGGCGCTTCGGCCTTGAGTTTTTCATTTCGACACGAATACTTGCCAACCGACATGCACTCGCTAGTTATGACACTCATTGCCTCAGTCACGTAGCTTGTTGCCATCAATATGACCGGGCCGTCTTGATGCATGTGGCAACAACCGCGTTGGTGTCCGCCATGCCATGGTGGGCGAGGCGGGTTAGTCGACTAACGTTGCTTGAGCTCGCTTGCTCTACCCCTCGATCTTGGATCTTGTAACGTGTAGTACTAGTATGCTTCTACATTTGGACTTCTAGATCGCTCGGCCTTGTGTGGGAAACTTCTTCCACACCTTGGAAACGGTAACTGCGCAGTCAGTGTTGTGCCGTTGGGGTTGGAAGGCCACCGACACGAGCTTCTTGCCACGAGGTCCCAACAGTCAGCTCGCCGCTGTGGCCACCGCCTATGGGTACTGTGCACTTAGAGGAGCTGCGCAAATCCTGTGGCATACTGGTAGAGATGATCTATGGAAGCCCCCGCTCTGACATGTTTGCATGCACGACGACACTCCTCAATTGTCAAACGTACAGGCATTGTGCTTCTCCAAGCCTAGTATTTGCTAACAATAGTGTCAGTTCTTGTGGTCGTTGCTCCTTCCTAACAAGAGTTGAGAAAAGCGGTTTTTGGTGTCTACTGTACTCGGCCACGCGTGGCATTGGTGTCGATGGGTTGCTTCAAGAGCTTGGTGGCGGAAGTCCACTACGGCGGGTGGTTGTCAGTCATCTCATTTTGCCCCCAAAGTAACTGCAATTTTTGAAACGGACTGAAACCAAACGTCAGTTTCGGGCCTCACAATAACAAGTATCTTGTATCAAGTTGTCGCCACGCGGTTGCTCAAGCACTGTACGTGTAAATGCACGCCATTTCGCACCGGCGCCATGGCGTCACGGCCCGTACGCGCAAATAGTGTTATTATCAGACGCACCGATTCTGGGCGTCTGATAACAGGTGGAAGTGTCGCTGTGATGCTATGCTTATGGCCTTGCACTCAAGTGGTGCGTGTGAATGAAGCACCGAGTTTTCGCAGCCACACGTTTAATTGGCTCGTCCTTGGACCTCGTGGCACGGCGCTATGTCCCTATACTAGTATCACAATACCGATCGGGTCCAATGACTGCGTGACCAAGGTCTCAGGAACATTCTCAGACGTCTGATAATCAGTGCTCACTGACATGACCAATCACAGCGTGCAAGAGCGCAACGTGTTGCGTCGAGCGTCCAGCCGGCGCAGCTTTTCAACGCTTCAAGTTCATGGACCCAGTCATGGACCTCTCGTTTCGCCAAATGCTACGACTCGGTACGGACCAATCGGCATGTCGCGACGCTTGTCAACGCAAACCCTATTCAACGACCAGGGCATGCACGCTGGTACTCAGATTATCCACGCGCATCGAGTCATGGGTCAATAATAAAGCCCATGATCGTGTTTAGCTATGCATCATTTGTTGAGTACCTGATGGCGGGGAAGGGGCTGGACGTTGGTTGTGTTGGCGATTTTCGTGCACGGCAACCTTGGCCCACATTCAACACAACTCAATTTACTTCCCATGGTCAAGATCATCGCCTCCGCCAGCGTTTTGGCCGCTGTCGCCATTGCCGGCACCGTCAACGAGATCCCCGCCGACATGCGCGCGCTCATGGACACGAACGCGAACCCGTGCGATGACTTTTATCAGTACGCGTGCGGTGGGTGGTACAAGCAAGCCGTAATTCCGGCGGACCGAGCCAAGATCGACACGTCATTCAGCGTCCTTGGCGACAAGAATGACGCGGTCATTCGCCAGATCCTCGGCGCGGGCTACCCCAAGGTGTCGGAGTACTACAAGTCGTGCCTCGACACGCGGACGCTGACGACCAAGGGCCTCGCGCCCATCTCGGATGACCTCCAGAGCATCAAGACGGCCACTTCGGTGGCTGGCTTGCTCCAAGTTGCGGCCAACCTGAGCAAGAAGGGTGTCTATGCCTTCACCCAGCCTGAGGTACGACATTGTCTATTCCCATCGCATCAAACCTTATGCTGTTGTCATGTAGGTGGCCCCGGATTCGCAAGATGCGACGGCCAACGTGCTCTACTCGGCCCAAGCGCCGTCGACGCTGACGCGTCAGCTGTACGTCAACCCGCAGGAATGGCGCGTGGTCCAGCCCGCGTACAAGCAGTACATCACGTCGGTCTTTACACTTGCGGGCAAGACAGCGGCCCAGGCCACGGCTGCGGCCAAGACGATCATCGACTTTGAGCTCCAGCTTGCTGGTGTCCAGCTCTCGAAGCTTGAGATGCTCGAGGCCACGACGGCCAACTACAACGCGCTCACGTATTGTGATGCGGCGGCCAAGTACCCGCTCACGGTCGGCGCGCAACTCCAGGCCTACGGCTTTCCCATCACGAGCTGCAAGGACCAAAAAATCGTTCTCAACGACCTCGACTTCTTTGACCGTGTCGAGGCGCTCGTCGGCCGCCAGTCGCTCTCGGCGCTCAAGACGATCTTCGAGTTCAAGGTCCTCCACACCTATGCGCCGTCGCTCGCACCAGCCTTTGGGACCGCGCGCTGGAAGCTTTTTGGCAAGCTCATTGGTGGTGAAAGCGTCGAGCAGAGCCGCGAGAAGAAGTGCACGGCCGACATCCAAGAGAAGCTCGGCGACCTTGTGTCCGACTACTTTGTCAAGGCGACGTTCGACGCCAACTCGGCCGCCCGCGCCGAGGAGCTGGTCCAGGCGCTCCAGACGTCGTTCCAGCAAGGCATTGTGACCGCGTCGTGGCTCGACGACGAGACGCGCGACAAGGCGACCTCGAAGCTCTCGAAATTTGTGCATTTGATTGGTGCGCCAACGTCGCCGCAGACGTACCCGAGTTTGAGCTTGAGCGCGACCGAGTACATTGCCAACATCAACAAGATCACGACGTTCGAGACCGACGCCAACTTGAAGCTCATTGGCACCAAGGTCGACCGCACCAAGTGGGGCTCGCCCGCGGCCGAGGTCAACGCGTATTACAACCCTTCCGTCAACTCGATCACGTTTCCCGCTGGCATTCTCCAGTCGCCTTTCTTCTCGGGCAAGTTTGACCCCGCGCGTAACTTTGGCGGCATCGGCATGGTCATTGGCCACGAGATCACGCACGGTTTCGACAACTCGGGCCGCAAGTACGACGGCGACGGCAACGTGGCCGAATGGTGGAGCGACGAGACGTCGCTTGCGTTCAACAAGAAGGCCAAGTGCATCATGGACCAGTACAGCGCCTTTGACGTGCGCAGCGAAACGTCCGGCAGCTCGCTCGGCAACGTGAACGGCCGCTTGACGCTCGGCGAGACGATTGCCGACAACGGCGGCCTCAAGACAGCGTTCCGCGCCTTCCACAACTACACGGAGACGGTCTCGCCCTCGGTGTACACCAAGGAGGTTGGCGACAAGGTCTTCTTCCTCTCGTTTGCGCAGAACTGGTGCTCGAAAAACTCGGACGCGTACCTCAAAATACTGCTCGAAGACGAGCATCCCCCCAGCAAGTTCCGCATCTACGGCGCCGTCCAGAACAACGACGCGTTCGCCAAGACGTTCAACTGCCCTCTCAACTCCAAGATGAACCCGACCAACAAGTGCTACCTCTGGGAGTAACTTCGAAATTAGCATATTCTTAACGTCTAATCTCTAATCTCGTTGATCGTGATATTTGTCTACACTCCTTGCGTCTCTTATTCCAAGCCCATGGGTGCGTTGTGCGCGCCCGAGGCTATGACCTGGAAGAGCTCGTGGCACCGTGCGCTGCGCAGATCATGCTCGCCTTGTTGCTAGACGAGAGTGGCGATGTTGATGGCGCCTTCAACCTTTACATGGCCAAGGTCCAAAGTCGCCGAGGACTGCGGTACCGACGTCGAAGCCCACTCGCTCTACCTCAAGGGCCTTGCCATCGACCCGATCAACGTATCGCAGTTCGCCAAGCATGCCAACATGTGCCAAAGCTCACCATGCCGCTTCAGTCGGCACCACAGCCCATGGTGGCGTAAGGTGTCTCGACCTCGTTAAGCGGCTACGCACGAATAGTACATTCTTACCTGGCAGTCCGACACCTAACCCTAACCCGAGTGCCCAAGCCCTACGATCGGCAACGGCGACAAGAGTTTGGCAAGGATACGAGCGTTCGAGTACCGAGACTAGAATTAGATTTAAAGAAAAGGTAGCAAATACTATAGTACTATTATTTCTTTCCAATCATGCGTTTCCAGAGACCTGGCGGCTTGACCTCGAACTCGGGCACCGATTGCGACCGCCGCGGGCCGTGGCGACGCCGACTCGTTGATCGCTCAATCACTGCGCTGGCTTCGAGCGACGGGCGCGTCTGATCTTGCGTCTCCCCTTGGCGCTGGATGCCTCGGCCACTCACGAGCACGGTTCGGTCGGGCGTTGCTGCGTCAAAGCTGCGCGGACGCTTCGTGTCGCTCTCGGGCCGTACGACGACTGGCACCGCCGTTGGCAGGCCCATCAACAGTGTTTCCGTCGTCTGCACCGACGACTGCATCGAGGTCTCGGACACCGTTTCCGCTGCCTTGGCGCCTGCGTCCGTGGACGCCTCTTTGGTCGGCGAGTTGTCGCTGGTCATCGTGTCGGACGCCGACGACGAGCTCTGGCTGCGCAGCTGCAAGATCGACTGCCGAAAGCAATCGCCGGCTGCTGCCTGGAACGACGAGAGGTCCCGGAACCGGGCCGTGGGCGGCACCACGTCCGAGATCGGAGCACCAAAGAGGCTCGGGACGCTGCGGCGCGGGGACACAAGGACATCCGACTCGGAATCGCCAACGCAATTCGAGCACGACGACCGGCGCAAGTGCTGCTTGGACGGCGAAATCGCAACGGCCATTTTCACGGGCGTCTTCTTGACCAGCGTCTTGGACTTGTTGCGCTTGAGGTACACTGGTGGCCGGGGGACGCGGGTGTCGGGTTCCGCGCGCGGCTCCGTCTCGACCTCGACACGGAGCGTCTCGTTTGGGAAGAGATGGGCTGCAGACAGCACTTGGGCGTTGCTGTTGATTGCGTAGAGCCCGCAGACACTGTAGACTTTGAGCGTGTGGCGCAAATGTGTCAGTAGCTCTTCGTACGTCCAGTCTTTTGACGCAATAAACCGAACGAGCGGTGCGTCGCGGCTCGGCGCCGACGCCGCCAGCGGCGAAGACGGGAGCGCGTGCACTTGCAGCGTCACGCACACGGTCGCGGGCGACGTAGCATCAAACGAAAAGCGCCGAGAGAGATTGTCACCGAGGCCACCGGAGATGGCGCGGTACGCATTCGAAAAGATGTTGCCCTGCGTCGAGGGTCGTTCTATCGTAAAATATGCGTGAGATGTAGCACAGAACAAGCTTGTCGCACCATCACGGCGATCGGCTTTTTCCGCTTCGTCCATGGACGCGGCTTGGATGCCGTGGTTGGAGACTTCGTACGCCCAGTTGACACCGCACACCAAGAGCGGACCAAAGACGACGCCCTACACCAAGCACAAGGATGAGGTTTTCGAGATGAGCTATAAGACCAACCTCAAGGCCAAACACGTAGACGCCAAAGACGACGCTGAGTGCCGAGACGTACGCGTTGATAGACGTCAAGCTCTTCTCGTAGAGCACTTGGTCGATCCACGAAAACGCCACGTAATGAATCACAAACAGCAGCAGCGCCTTGACGATCGACGTCGACGACCAAAGCGCCAGCACCCATGGAATACACACGAGGTACGCGGGGATGATGGGCACGATCGAGATGAAAAACGTGATAAAGGTCCCGAGGTAGACGAAATCATTGGCCTAGACACCATTTGTATCAATATGTCAAGTATTTTTGTCAAAAATGAACAGCAGATCGAACGGTACCATCATGCTCAGCGAGACCAGTGTCACAATGGCGTGGAGACTGGAAATCTTCATTGGCAGAGAAAACACGCCTTCGATCGAGCGTCGGAGCGAGTTGACGAGCGCCGGGCGTTTCTCGGGCGCAATCGGCATCAGATCGTAGACAAACTAGCCAAAATACATGAAAAATCGCCTGAAAATTACTGAAAAGACAGCTACGTACGCGTTCGATGGGATCCCACTTGGTGCAGAGGAGGTAGAAGAGCGACGTGACAAAGAAGACGGCCTTGATGCCAATGCTGATAAACGCAATCACAAACGTGAGCACGAAAAACACAATCTGAAACACCGAGCCAAACGCCATGGACGAGATCTCGAGGCCTTTGCTCGTCCAGTCCGTCACGTCGGTCGAGGTGAGGTTAAACTGCGCGTACGCGAGGGTAAACACCTACACCACGGTATTAGTCTTCACAAACTAGACCATATGCCGAAGAAAGGCCATCATATACCGATGTCCACGTCATGTTGGTCGGAATGTCGAGCATCGTCGCGACAGTCGTCGCATTGAGGATCGGGTCCGAAACCACGGGGACAGCCCCGTCGCTCGCGTCATAGTACGATAGCACAAGTGCTTTGAGCGGGCCAAACCACATGGTCGAGTTGTACTGGCCCTCAATCTCGCGCAGGCCCGACGCCACCATGGCCTTGCCGTTGTGGACTTGGTCGCCCCACATCTTGCGCGTGCGCTCGTCGTTGATGACGTTGGTATGGACCCAGCTCGTAAAGTGCATGGCGGCGCGGGAGCCCTCCATGTAGCTTTCGGTACCGAGAAACACGAGCACAAAGACGCCCTAGACCGACTCGAAATGAGCTTCCCAGAGCAGCAACACAAACGTACGATCGTGCAGCAGCCCAAGAGCAGCAGCGTCGAGACGAGGACTTGGTCCGAGACAAAGATGCGGTAATGGAATATGCGCTGGTCCGCGACCCACACGAACGCGACGACGACGAGCAGGAGCGCGATCGCAAGCTGCACGAACGAGAGCCAGCTAAACATGCGCACGTAGATCGAGACGGCGCCGATCATCGCAAAGATAAAGATGCCATTGTCCAGAATGAACTCTTGCATGCGGCGCTTCTTGTGCGCCAGGTCCGTTGGCCCCGACGACCGCATGAGGTACGGCCACAGCTGCGTCACGACCGAGTAGAGAAGGCCCTAACACCATTGCATGAGCGGCGAGGCAAGGCGAACCATCGACAGTACGTCGCGTTGGATCTCGGAAGCGTGGCTCAGATAGGCGAGCATGCGGCAGACGTTCTCCTTGGCACCGCGCAGCGCCTGGCTGAAGAGGATGCTCCAGATGATGACGCGGAAGTAGTCTTCGAAGAGGAGGAAGTTGAAGTAGACTAGCGCCAGCACCACGGCCGTGCTCATGTTGCCGAGGATCGTCCCGAGCGCGAACTCGATGATGTCGGGCATGCTGCTTGCGGCAAACTGAGAGCGCAACTTACCGAGGTGCGGAAACGCAACTTTACTGAAAAGTCGTGTTTTAAAGGATGTTGCTATTGCGTCTCCGACCGTATTTAAATAAATAGAGTATGTCCCATACTTCATCCTTGTTTGATTTGGATCCGCGCATTACAATACGCGACATACCACTATATTATTATACACGGAGAATGCAATACGACGGCGTTTCTTATACGGATACAGCATCCGGATGTTGTCGGGGATTTCTTTGAAATGGCTCAATATGCATCATATTCTCTATACTGTCTCGAAGCCATTGCTCTCAACACAATGCTGGTACGTCAACGGACAGAGGCAAGCGCGAGCGTCGATATTATAGCCTCAGACGAATGCATCAAGCACGTCTGATCGAGAAAAGGCAGCGAGATGATGACCCCGGTCTTTGCTTCTTTTCTGAACGCGGGTCTTCCTATAGCTCGCCACTGTGGTCTTGGACCACTCTGGGCTGAATTCGATAGCGGCCAGGCCACATCGTGCACGAACAAATCGCCTACCATACGTCTATTACATCTCTAAAGTCGATAAACCAGTCTAGTCCTAGTTGGGCCGACGCCGAGTGCAAGCTGTCGACCTCAATCCCTGATCAACGGGTTTGGGACGGAGTGGAGACTGCGCTGACGGTGACGCAGAAAAAGGGCCGCCGTGACGGTTTCTTCGCCAATCAAATGCGATTGATTACGAAAACTAACTACGCAGCGCGATAGACAAGCTCCGCCACCAGTGTGTCTCCAAGCTACTAGTACGAGTGCACTGCTTCCACGCGTGCAGTCGTACCGGTACTAGTAACGTTAGGTAGAAAGCTGCAGCATGGAGACACGTCCACGCAACATTGCTCTTGTCGTCTCTGCACTTCAAAGCGCATATCGCGAGCGTTGAACCCTGCCACGCTGCAGGCTCCACGTCGTCTCGCTGCCGCTTGCACACGGCGTAATCCTCGCAGACTATGCCAAGCATTAATATTGTCCCTCCTGTAGTAGCTTGGATACCTGGAGACGTATAGAGTAGAGTGCTTCAGTTGTCTTTGCAATGGAGACCAGAGCGGGAAACGGCCAGTGTTCCCATTGGCTCATTCGCCACCTCAATTATCCGGACTATCCGGACCGTAAACTGGCAGCGATGGCATCCGAGGCGAGCCGCCTGTACAAGCTCCAGAACAACCTCCTCGGTGCGACGATGGCCTCGCGTAGCATGCACCTATGGCCTCGGTAGATGGCATGTCGATGCAGGCCAAGCTCATCGCTGGGCTCAGCGTGCTCTTCCTCTTCCTGAGCTTCCTCATCTGGCTGACGTGGGACCGGTACGACAACGCCCCATCTCGCCATCCCATGACGCTTCCATAGCTACGGCAAGGAGGTTAGCGCGCTCTACGAAGGCCGCTCTCGCTTCTCCAATGCACCAGCTGCCGGTACCATCATCTCGCGTGCACGTCGTACGCACATGTGCTTTCTAGACGGCGACGACGACGAGTTCAAGGCCTACAAGAGCCTTCCCACCTTTTTTTACGAGTACAACAAGAAGAAGAAATAGAGAGGTTGATAGCGACACGACTTACAAGCGCTTGGCGATCTCGGGCGTAAGCGCAACGTCCTTTGGGATCTTCCCGGCCTTGTTTTTGAGGTTGGCACTGCCTTTCGCCTCCAAGAGGAGCAACACGAGCGCGTCAAACCCACCGCGCGCCGCCAAGTGCACGCTCGTGTTGCCTTCGGCGTTGGCAATATTGGGCTCTGCGCGCGCCTCGAGGAGCTTCTCCACGCACGGCCCATGGCCGCCGCTCACAGCCTTGTGGAGCGGCGTTACGCCTTGGAGGTTGACCTCGTTCACGTTGGCGCCGGCACTGAGGAGCGACACGACGGGGTTGAGGATGCCGCGTCCGGCCGCGAGGTGCAGCGGTGTGTTGCCCCCGTCGTCTTTTGCATCGACCGACGCGCCGAGCTCGAGGAGCTTGGTGACGACGTTGAGCCGGCAGTGGTTGACCGCGTGGTGGAGGGCCGTCATACCACCAAACGAGACCGACTCGATCTCGGCGCCATGACCCAAGAGGTACTCAAAGACGTCGTAGTAGCCGTTCCGAGCGGCCCAGACAAGCACACTGCAGCCGTACGCGTCTTTGGCGTTGACGTCGATGGGCTTGATGTTCCCGCCCTCGGGCGGCTCGACGAGCGTCCGGAGGATCTGGAGGTTCCCTACGGCCGCGAGCTTGAACGGGTTGACATCGACATCGGGGATCTCAAACTTGGCGGCGACGACGGCGCCCTTGGCCTTGGCCATGGTCGGTGCGCTGAAACGGGTGTGGCTAATATCACGCCACCCGACCGCAGCAGTAACTGCTGCAATCCATTGGCGGCTCCACAACAAGCGTACAAAGGGACTAGAACGCGCTGTCAGGGCGGGTTGGTCTACTAGGTACGATGAACGACGTCCGATTGCATCATAGATGCTACGCGACGGCTGTGGGAGGCGCACGACACAACAACATGAGGTGGCGTGTTTTTAGCCTGTCAAAAGCCAGCCGTTTCACCTTTACGCGGGCCAAAATTACGGCCTTTCCCATCTGAGTTTGCGCCATGACGAGTGCGCACCTTGCAGCAACCGCGTCGGCCGACCTCGCAGCGATGGAGGCGCTGTACGACGCTCACGGCGCTGCGTTTATCACGGCCATCGACCCGGTTTCGGTACTCCGTTGTACTTGACCCTTGTGCATTCCAACCGTTTTCTGGCACTAGGGCGACACGCATGCCCACGTGAGCGCCCGCGCCGGCCGCGTCTTTCTCTTGCGCTGGCTTTGGCGGCGAGGCCTTGACGTTAGCGTGCAAAACAAGCTCGGGAATTCGGCGGCCCATGAAGCGGCGTTGCACGGGCACCTGGCCACCCTGCAGTGGCTCGAGATGCGCAACGTCAGCCTTCATCTGCGCAACCACGAGGTAGATACGGCTTGTGATTGCACCATTCTATGACTCGCGTGTCTGTCTCTAGCATCACTCGGTGATGCACTACGCTGCTCATGGCGGGCACGTTGCGCTGCTTGCGTGGCTGGCCAAGAAGGACCCCTCGTTGCTCCTGCACTGCGACAAGCGCGTACGAGCCACGTGCCATTGCGTCATTGGCGGCACCGAGACCATTTAACGTGTAGGGCAATGGCGTTGTACACTACGCAGCGAGCAAAGGCTCTGCCGCCACAATGCAGTGGCTCGCCGACGCCAACGCGCCTCTAAAAGCACGCAACGACAAGGTACACGTCGAGCCCTCGTGACCCAACGAGCACTGCGCACTAGGGCCAAACGCTAGTTCACATTGCGGCGGCGGCCGGCAACGTGGCAGTGCTAGCGTGGTGCGACGACCATGATCTCGATATGAATGCGGTCGATCTCAAAGTTCGTCCAACTCGACGAGGTGCAACACTGACTGGAACGTAGGGGCAAACGCCCGCGCATCTGGCCGCGCGCCGCTGCAACGTCCAGACTACCATGTGGCTTGGCGATCACGGCTGCAACCTCTTTGCTCTGGATTACGCGGTGCGTCGACTTTTTGGTTTGTAGCTTATACACTATGCGGGGTAGGGGTGCTCAGCCCTCGACGTTGCTCGACAGGGCAGCTTGGACACCGCCAACGAGCTGCACGCATACTTGCGACGCATCCAAAGTACGCATTGATGTTACGAGCCTTTTTCGATATACGTACGTTGAATCGTAGACTCGAACCAATTGTGGGTCGACGACGAACACGAACCCACAACGTCAGAACCTCAAGTTCCTTGCATCCCATTGGCCAAGGTACACCTCTCTTCTCGCGTCTCTACATTCTAGACAGGGTCTCCGTACGCTTAGAACGAGACGTGTCATAGCTCGACAAAGTCGCACCAGGCGCAGCTCACCAGCGCGCTGCTCGCACACAACATTACGGACGCCGATTTCGCCTTGACGTACTTGGCAAGTCATTTTCCTGAGACGCTGAGCGGACTCTCCGAGCACTTGGATTTGGCGCCTGCCGAGCTTGCAAGTACTTTGGCCTCCATCGCCAAGTGGCGACTGTACCATCCTCCGCAAGGCGACGAGGATGACGACAACCAAATGACCCATGGATGACGCGAGCACCGACCACCACCAAGATGCGTCCTTAGTAGTACTACTTTTTAGAGTCTTCTTATCAATTAAACATCTTTGGTCTAGTGAGGCAGAACCTAGTACGAGTACTAGCTAGCGACGCGATATTTGCTACATTTTGGTCCCAATCGAAACTTTTGTAACCTTTTCAAATCGCTGTGGTATTTTCAGGGGCGCTTTCTCGAGCTCGAGAGAGGCTGTACGCAACGCGCGTGGCTATCGAAGGCCTGCGAGTATTTTAAAAACTCGTTAAAAATTGCTGTTTCCAACGTAATTCGTCTCGCTATTGAACGCGAGCCCATCCATGACCCAAATGCAAGCTCTTCGCGGCAACTGTGTGACGGGCGCAGGTGCTGACAGCGCGTAGGAGAAGAAATGTCGACTCATAAATGAATGGCGGCCTTGAACAGGGTGCTGCCGAGGACTTCTATGTGCGATGGAGCACGGTGTCTGGGTGTTGACGTAACAAAATAGTATTGAGTTGTACAACGCAAAACACCCTCCT